TGTGTTGTGTTTCTTTTGCCGGAATCGAGATGCGGCCATTCGAATGAAGGCACTGAATGCGTTAGGTTGGCGATTTTGCATTTTTTTGCTTAATTTCAGGTTATTTTTAGGTAATTTCAGGTTGGTAAGAGGTTGTTCGGGGCGGGCGTGGGCGGTGAGAACCGTGCTTTTGCGTGCGCGTGGTACGCAACGCGCAGTAATGAGTGTATATAAATATATGATATATACATAAATATAAATATATAAGAATAAATAAAGATATATACATATATATTTATGTATATATAATAATTATTTCTAATTATTATAATTATCATAATTACAGGTAACCTATCGGCCACCCACTCAGACCTATTATTGCGTCGTGAGATGCGTAATATGTATGTGACGCTGCTAAATGCGGACGATAAGGAATATTTGAATTTGAAAATTCAAACGCTGAAGAATTTGGAGTTATTTTTGATGGAAGAGGAGTCGAAGATGGTGAAGAATAACGATGAATGTGGGTGGTTTTGGTGTTGTTTTGGTGTTTTAGTGTTTTATTGTTGTTGTTTTTATTATTTTTTATTATTAACGATATTTTCAGATCGCGCGCAAGGTATTATAGAACATTATAAATAAGTATTTATTTGAAATTTTGGCTTTTCGTAAGGGTTTTTGGTTTTTGGCTTGGAAATAGTAATAGTANCATTATAAATAAGTATTTATTTGAAATTTTGGCTTTTCGTAAGGGTTTTTGGTTTTTGGCTTGGAAATAGTAATAGTAATAATAATGATGATAAGGCACTTGTTTACTGTTTAGTTTGGTGGACACGCACGCACGCGAGCACGCTCGCGTGCGACAACTGAAGCCACGCCTACTGAGCATGACCTTAGACTAGGTGTATGTGTGTGTGTTGTTGTATGCGAGCGTGCAGGCGTGCGTGCGTGTTCGCTAAAGTAAACAAGTGCCTGCCTGATAATATTTATGCGTGGTGTTATTGTTATTATTATTGTTATTTATTGTTATTATTATTGTTATTATTATTATTATTGTGTGAATATAGTTGATTGATTTTCATTTACTGTGTATATTAGATAAATTGTAAGTAATATAAGAACAATAATAGTAATAATAGTAATAGTAATCATAATAATAACAATGATAATAGTAATAGTAATAATTTTAGTAATTAACACCTTCTTTTAATGTCTGCTTCTCCTCTTTTTCAACGCTGCTTGTGTTGGTTTTGTAGAGTGGCCGTGTGCTTTTATATTATAGTTATGGGTGATTTAACATAATTTAGTGTATTATTTGCTAATTGTAGTGGATTGGGCTGTTGTTTTGTTCATTGGGTTGATATTATTTTATTGTTTTTATTATTTATTGTTATATTTTTATTATTTATTGTTGTTATTTTTATTATTTATTATTGTTTAATAGCAGTATTTATTATTGTTGATAACAGATATTGGCTTGATTAGCAAGTGATGTCGTTGCGAGGCGTGTGGGCATGCGGCAATGGGCGGGGCTTGTGCAAATGAACATAGCAGTTAACGGTGGGCGTGGCTAGCAGCTAACTGAAGCCACGCCCACCGTTATATGCGATAAGGACATACGCTTTGCAACGGCATCACTTGGGCAATAACAACAATAATAAATATTATAACAATAATAAATAATAGTGAATATAATAATAATAATAAATAAAATAATAAAAATAATTCAGGGCA